CTTTTTCATGTCATTTTACACATACTGTTGATCAATTGGTTGTATTAGTCACCAATGTCACCAGGTGACTATGAACCCTTAAGAGCGCTGGTTAGATGCTTAGAACTGATCAATTCATGGATGTGCATCATTTTCTCCACCTAAATAAAAACAAAACTGATCTAATAATTTTCAGACCAAAGGAGGAGACATCCAGAGTTAGGATGATCTTTTGTCATATGCTCTATTAGATACTAATGTTTTTATTAATCAGATCTATGTGATGCTTTATGTTCTCATCATGAGTTCTCTTTATTCTTTTGTAGATTGTCTTCCGGAAGATCAGTGATGTGAAACGGGAGGAGGAGGAGCGACAACGGCGGAAAAATGAAGCCCCCCTGAACCTGCCACCGGATCACCCAGTACGAAAACTTTTCCAGCGCTTCCGACAGCAGAAAGAAGCCCGAATGGCCACCCAAAAACAGGACCTCAACGAACAGGACGTTGAGAAGGGTCCTGCCTATGTTGAGGTATCGATGGCCAAAGCCCCTGTCACAACTACCAGCATCGTCACGGTAACAGAAAGCCCAGCAACACCCTCCTCCTCGGTCCCTTCACCTTCAACGCCGACAAACTGCACCTCTACAGACAAGGCAAAGCTGCAGGTGCCTTCAACAGTTTCTTTGGCAGCTTGCCGACCTGCTGAGCCGGTCAAAGTCAAAGGCTGGGGTCGCTTCAAGGAGTCCATGGCCAAAGCCGATAACTGGAACAAGGTGGCTAAAGCCGAATCCATGGAAACTCTACCTGAGCGGACAACTGAGCACGAGCCGCACACGACTTTAAAGAAGACGGACTCGTGTGACAGCGGGATCACCAAAAGTGACCTACGGCTGGACAAAGTGGGCGAGTTTCGCATGACCCCTCAGGACCGCAGTCCTGCCCAGCCTCCAGAAACCAGGCATGCCTTTTACCCCATCCCAGAGCAGACTCTTCAGGCCTCACTTCAGGAACTTAAGCTGGAGCTCAAGGAGGACATTAAGAGCCTGAGCATCCGAATGTCTGGCCTAGAGGCGCAACTTGCTGAAGCACTTAAACTCCTTCGAGCCAGGAAATCTAGTACTGGCTCCGAGCAGCCTCTTTTTGACATTTCAAGGCCTGCCTCGCCAGAGCTGGACAAAGAGGATATTTTTTCATGAGGGAAGGAAGAGAGACCCATCAGGTAACAGCGATACATGAGCTCAGCTGGAATCCAGTAATGTAGAGATTGCTTGGATAGCTGAGGCAGTTTAAGGCACACCATCTGTAGGTGTCACTGTGGTCCATGAGATCTACCGACCTTTAACATGAGGTGTGTCTGCTGGTTAACGCAGGATGTCAAAGATTACGCTATCGTAGCACTGAAGGCTTGAAGGTTACATAACAGATGACAGAAAAAGTTTGTACATAATTTATTTTTCCACTGTGCCATGTTGGAAAAATAACGCGCCTAGTTTGATTTTATCTCAGCCGCAGAACTAACTGCAGAGTCGTTACTGTTGGGATGCCCCAATGGAGGCAGCATGACCCGCTGGTTTGTTATTGAATCATTCGTATGAAACTCTTTGCATGTCATATAAAATAGATGTGTACCTCTTACTGCAGACTGGGGCCATACTTGATTAATTGAGGCTGCACAGCGAGTCATTTGCATTATTTCAGTCAGAAAGAGCAGACTCTATCCAGATGTTGAAACAATCTCACTGTAATTTCCTCAGACACATCTCTTATTAAAATCTGCTGGGATCATTATGAATTATACAACAGATAACTCTGGCCAACCAATCTGGTTCCCAGAAAAAAACATGCCTGAGTAGAGCTTACAATGTAATTTACATAAAGCATTAAAGGATGTGCTAGATAGAAAATGAATTTAAATGCTAACTAGTGAGCATGCAGTAGAGAAGTTATCCATCTTTGCTGAAGTCTTGCATTTGTTTATCTCATCTGGGAGCGCTGCAGCCATATACATGATGCACTGTAGTGTGAAAGTTGTGCGTTTTTACCTTCGGGGAATCTTATTAGTAATTTGATAATGCAAACTACAGCATTTGTTGTGGCACCTTACGTTCCTTTGGAAATTTCATGAGCCAAGAAGGAATACCCATTGTTACAATAATTTTAAAATATTTGTTAATATGTATTTATCTAACACACAAAGTTGCATAAAACCACCAGGTAATCCAAAACCCCATAATAGTAACCCCCTTACATAAAGCCTCACTGTTTAAACTTGCTGCTGAAGTGCATGATGCATTGTTTTTCTTTTCCATCTTGCACTAGTTTTGCATGATTCTTGTTGTTTTTAAAAGATGCTTATGATTAATGTAAGGTTGCTTTCCACTAGTTAATTATTATCTTAAAATCTGTCACTGAATTTCTTTCTCTATCTGGGTAAAAATTACCCTATGCTTAAAGCAACACCGGTAGGCTAAATTATTCAAAAGTAAACTGATATTAGCTTCTCAAGAAGCATAAAAATATAGATTATTTTACACTAAAGTATTTTTTCTATTCCAATTAATTAAGGCAAAGCCTTTATTTTGAACATTTTAAGTTCACAAATTCCATATCAGTGAAAATAAAGACATCTATTTCTAAAATAGAAAAACTAAATATAAAAAGACACGACTGCTTTTTTCCCCTTTCTGGCTCACATGAAATTGACGTAAACCTTTACTGTTTTAATTCTTTATCAAAATTATTTTCACTTTCCAAATGCCAGACTAATGACAGATATTTCTTTTTTTTAATAATTCACTAGAGATAAACCAGACTCATGTGGGTCTGAACTCTATCTAACGTCACGCCTGATTTCATATTCTTCTGATGCGATAGAAGGAACCCATGTGAGCTTTAAAATACACCCATGGCTCCTCCTCCTACATTTAACTCTGTAATTGTAAAATGCTTACTTGCCAGTTAGCCTATTATTATTAGCTTACAGCACTATGATATTATTAGAGATGCACCAATCCAATACTAATATACGGTAGGTATCGGCCCCAAACCGAAGAAAATTCTAGATCTGTTATCAGGCAAAAATAAGGGCCAATCGTTTAGGACAGATATATTCAGTCTAATTCTATTATAAATTTAAAATTGTTTAAAAATCTCTTAAAAAGCAGAAAAGTTTCACTTTTATGGGCATCTCTCTTTTGCAATGCCTAAATTGTCATATTTGAGTTGCTGGATGAAAATTGTCCTCCTTAAGTTATTTACTGTTTTGGACTTATTTTTAAGAGCTTACAACAACTTATGTTGTATTTTAGATATACTTGTGTTCATTCATGCATATCACACATGCTTGCAGAGAAGAGGTTATGACAGCCTTTCAAAAAGATCAACAGTAATAACAATAACTATCAAGTTAAATAAAATTAAATAAAGCAAATAGAGCTCCTATAGAGCATAATGATTTGCAGATATCCAAATTAAGGTATTAGAATCAAACTTGTCAAGATGTAATTAAGCACATATATGTAACATTTTGAATTTGAAGAAAATCTTTTTTTTTTTCCTCATTCTGTCACTATTCTGGTATTTAGCAAGTGTAAATAATTTTTCTACCTCTAACAGTAATACGCCTGAGAAAATGTTGTCTTATTTGATGTGTGTTAGAAAGAAAAGTAATTATATTTTTATATAATTATGGTTCTGATCTGGTTACGTCATGATCTAGTTATGGATTATTCATTAGAAACATGAAAAACACGAAGAACATAAGCCTGTTTGCCACTGATGCTGCATGTTTACATTACATTTTTCCTCTGTTTATATTTGGTATATTACATAACTCTTGTGTAAATATCCCAGAACTGTAGTTGTTAAAAGTCATGAAGACATTATTTCTTGAACATTACATTTTTTTATTTTAAACATATCATTAATAACTCCCAGCCTTTTCTAAATACATGTTTTGTATTCATATAATGCAGACAGCATAATTTTTTTTCACCTGAGCATCATGCATCTCTTTTTAATTGACTAATTCAATACTTTTTAAATTAATTGAAAATGTTGTTATTTATTGTAATTTAATTATGTTAGATTGATTACTCAGAGAATCTTGTTTTAAGCTTCCATTTCTCTTTCTAGGGATTTTGTTTTAATCACCAATGAATTAATATATTTAATTCAGATATATGGACTTAATGACAAGTTAGTTTAACACCTTATTTTTTAAAAGGCAGTTTTATTCTAACAAGTGAACCTCATCAGAGCCTGTATTCTAATGTATTTAATGTCTTTACATGGTTTGTGAAAAGCGTTATCAGCAAACCGATAGTTTTAAACTACTTTGGAAAATAAGACATTTAAAAAAACAAACCAGAAATAAAAGAAATAGAAGATATTTATCAAATATAAAATAATGAAGAACCAAGAAGCATGAAATAAAAGGTGTTTAGCCTGTACTATAAAATGATAAGCTAAATTTGAATCCAGAACTCTTCAAACTTTTATAGAATGAGGCAGTTCAAATATTAATTAGCAAATGTGTTGAATCTTTAAAGCAATCCTGTCATATTTGGCGCATAGTAAAATCTAGAGTAGATTTGCTTTACTCAATGGCAGCACATTAGGATATTTCTATATATATATCAAACATTCATAACAATTAACTTACTGTTGGTTTTCAATTTATATTTTGCTGAATCCAGTACTCTAATGTACCCAAAATAACCGCCACTCTGGATATTTAATGTTTTCCGCTTTTTTTTCTTCTATTTAACGAGGCACGAGACAACCAGAAATGGACACAGCAAAGTGGAAAAACATGCTTAGGTTCCATTGCATCCATTTTCATAAAATATTCAGCACGCATAAATAAGCAGTCATGTCCTTACGGACGTAAAAACTAGTTTGGTTTAGTGCCAGGGTTTTTTTTTTTTTCATTTTTGGCTGTTTCTGCTATTATTAATTATTTAGTACCTGGTTAGAAATGGCATGGACGTTTTCCTGCCAGACAACAGGCCAGTTCTAAAGATGTCGGTCATGTGTAAAGAGTTCACAAAGAAAAAAGGGAAAAGAAAAGATAAAAAGAGGTCAGACAGCTTTGGAGAGGAGAGGAAATATGCAGAAGAAAATCTGAACGTTACAAAAGCAGCTAAATCATTTCAAACATATCTTAATGTTATCAAATACATATAAATCTGGTATGGTTCTACAAATGATACATAAACAACAAATAAATGATGAAAGCAATAATATGCCTTTAGCTTTTCCAGTGTATTTTATGTGTTTTTTTTATGTGATGGATCCACACAGAGTAGTGCAAAAAAGTGAACATGCAAAATTATTCATGATTTTTATTTCACTTTGTCCCTCTGCAAAATTCATCGCCATACTTTGTTAATTCCCTGTTTTTCCTTTGGGTTGAGTCTCACCGTTCTTTGTACATCTAAAGACGGAGGAGATGATCCATCAACCTGAGTGAAAAACACCCCATCCATTACCTCCTTTTTAGCTGGATTAAAGTCTTCACTTTAACTAAGCTTTTCTACTATATGAATATTAATCTAAAACTTTTCAATATCACCTTGGCTTTCTGTTAATTTTGTTGCATTTAGCTTAATCCATTTTCTTAAACTCTGATTACCTTCCCCAGCCTTGCCAAAGAAAAGTCTCCCCACAGCATGATGCTGCCATTTCCAAGTTTCACCATGGGGATCATGGTGAAAACTGAGTGAAACATCTAACATTTCTATCACATCTGACCAGAACATCTTGTTCAACATGCTTTGCATGGCTCATAGCAGCTGCTACAGTGCTTCCTTCTTCCTTATTTCTTCTTTTCCCAGCTTCCATCAATGTGTGTTTTACATGATCAATAGTTTTCATATCAATGGAATATCACATCTGAGCTGCGGTTCTGTGCAGAGTTACACTGAGTTTCTTGGCTGCTCTCCTGGTTCGGCCTCTCAGTCGAGGTTGAGCAGCCATGTCTTGATAGATTAGCAGTTGTTCCATAATCTCTCAGTTTCAATATAATGGATTCAACAACAATCTTTTATAGTTTTGAAGCCTGGATTACTGTTTTATAACCTAGCACTGCTTTACACTTCTGCACACCTTGGTGAATATTCATTTACTCAAAACATTCAGTTTTTTATTTCATTCATCCTTTTCCTAACATTTCAGCATGTTGCACTGCTTTGTGTTACTCTATCAAAAGAAACTAAAATAAAAACAGCAATGTTTGTGTAAAAAAACACAACTAAAATATGGGAAAAAAGCTTTGGGGTATGAAAGCCTTTGTAAAGTACTATATGTGCTGTGATTTGGAGAATAAAGGACACACATGGAGCAGGTGTGCATCAGAAACAGCTAAATTTTTCAGGCTGGTCAGACTGTAATAAAGCAGAGATTTTACCTTAGATTTTACCTTAGATTAAAAAAATTATTTTTAAATGACATAAAATCATTATACTCATGTAAACACCTGCATTCAGACTCATCAAGACAGGTACAATAAAAGGCAGGACCAATCCATCTGATTAGTATATGCTACGCATAATGACATTTATTAAATCATTTTTATAACACAAATAACTATTTAATAATGATGATTGTTTCAATAGAAAAGCTGATAAAAAGTCATTGTGTTTTTAAACAAGGACCTCCTTTGAAAGTCGCCCCCTAAAAGAGCTTCAGTTCTCCCCAATTTGATTTATCTGGATTTATGCTGATTTAATTTCCTATTTAAATAGATTTTGCCGTTCCTACTTGACTCCTACACTCCATGAATCCGCTCTGCATGTTACCAAACTCCTGCAGCCTGTCCATATATTCACTCGCGACTGAAACATTTAACTATGCAACAATCTTGGATATAACCTCTGAATATAAGCAAGCTAATGAAACTGAAATCTTTCAAATGAGTCATGATTTTCACCTTTCCATCCATCCAAACAAATATAAAAAAAAAAACAAAAAAAAAAAACTTTCACTCAAACCAAGACAGCGTTTTGTTTGGGCATGTAAAACGGTTTTAATGGTGGTAAAAGTGATTGTAAATGAAGCAGGTTTTTTTATGGTCAGAGGTTTGTTATTTATGTGGATTTACAGTCTCACAGTGACAGCTTTAAGATGAAACCTCAAGTCATGGGGTTTAAATTGTCTTTCTTTTGAATGTTATCACTTGAAATGACAACCTGAACTTTTCTGAATTTTCCTAAGGAGGTGATATTTTCCTCTTTTCTGCCCTCATCCAGCTAAGGGCGGATTTATTTTTTACAAATGATGTTTTATTGTACTTTGAAAAATGTGAATGATATTCTTTGGAGTAGTTTTGTTTCACCACAGACACAGATGAATGAAATGGTTAATATTTGTGAACTTTTATTATCACTTTGAATTATATATGTTTGTGTTATGTTGATAGTACATTTGCAACATATTGGGTTTCCTTTGATTTAAATTATGTAGTTTTAATTGTAAATTTGTTTACTTTAGCTAAAGCTCAGACTGCATTAGTATTTGAAGGCAGTCCAAAAATCCAGCTCTACTCTTGTGGAGGAAACCATCACTTTACGCTCTTGTTTCAAGGCCATCAATATTTTACATTTCAGATCCTTGAAAGCAATATGTAGCTCTGCGCGTTACCATTTAGAAATACCTTGTGACAGAAATGCTTAAATTACTGCACTAACATCTCATTGACCCTCACGTTTCCAGAATTGTTACCTTTGAGAAGCATGCAAACTCGTGCCTTTGTATTAATGTCCCTGTAACTCCTTTTTTCCAGCCTGCAGGAAGGAAAGCAGTGTTCATGATCCAAATTAATGTTGCTCCACTGAAATGAATTGAATAAAGATCTATTTTTGTGGTCAGCTCTAGAGAGCTGCCTAAAAGAAAAATAAATGGACAAAATGTACGGATATAAACATATGCACAAGTGTTAAAGCAATGGTAGGATTCTATATCAAGAGCAAAGTTTGAATTCAGTGTATGTATTATGCACATGCCTCTGTGTTGACACATCGTGTGTTGAGAAATGTACTATTTCAAGCACAATGGGAACTCTTTGTTATGAAATGTGACATACTGTGCTCTTCATAATAAATATTTTATACATACGGTACCCTGTCTCCTGTTTTGGGCTCCACTGCTGGCGGTAAACACTAATCTTTAAGAAGCTGTAACCAAGCAGGTGTATTCTCCA